GGAATGCAGAGCAGACCTCCTGGGTTCAACTGCTGGTCACATCACAACAGAGGTAAGACAGAAATCTTTATATTTCTTTGTTAGCCATTATGACAAAGTCAGCACATTCCTTGGCTGCTCGGGGTGGAGCGGGTCCAACTCTGATCACAGGCTTGGCAGTTTGATTCCCAGTCTCCTCAGTCCACATAACAAAATGTTCCTGGGCAAGACACTGAACCCTAGGTTGCTGCTGGTGGCCAGGCCATCGCCTTGTGTGGTAGCTCTGCCATCATCAGTGTGTGTGTGTGTGTGTGTGTGTGTGTGAGAAAGGATGAGCGGGTGAATCTGTAAGGCACTTTGACCAGATAAGGTTGGAAAACACTATATAAGTGAAGTCCATTTACCATCTACTGCTTTTGACAGGCTCGCACTGTAATTATTTAGAAATGCATTTGCGGTTTTCTTCACTGTTAGATTAACACAACAGCAGACTTCACCAGGCGAATCTGACTGGAGACCTTCTGTGGTAAGTCCCTTCTGGTTGAGGCTCCACCATCAGGACAGGAAATGTCAGAGGTGTTCTAGTTTTCAGTATTATTCATAAGTATTGTCACTTGAATAATCATATGGCAAAAAACCCATTCAGATTTTCATATTCATAATTACCTGCAGCAGCATTTCTGCCACAAAAAAAAAAAAAAGAATTCCTCACCCGCCCCACTTTGGGGCGGTCTTTTATTCCTTCCTTCAAGGGCTCGCGTCCTCTACCAGAGGCCTGGGAGCTTGAGTGTCCTGGGCAGTATCTTAGCTGTTCCTAGGTCTGCACTCTTCTGGACAGAGATCTCAGATGTTGTTCCTGGGATCTGTTGGAGCCACACTCCCAGTTTGGGGGTCACAGCCCCCAATGTTCCTATTACCACGGGGACCACTTGTGCCTTCACCTTCCACATCTTTTCTAGCTCTTCTTTCAGCCCTTGGTATTTCTCGAGATTCTCGTGTCCCTTCTTCCTGATGTTGCTGTCGCTTGGGATTGCTACATCTATCACTACAGCCTTCTTCTTCTGTTTGTCCACCAGTACTACGTCCGGTTGGTTGGCCATTACTAGTTTGTCAGTTTGTATCTGGAAGCCCCACAGGATCTTAGCTTGGTCATTCTCAACCACCCTTGGAGGTGTATTCCATTTTGACATTGGGACTTCCAGCCTGTACTCGGCACAGATGTTTCTGTATACTATGCCAGCCACTTGGTTATGGCGTTCCATGTATGCCCTGCCTGCTAGCATCTTGCACCTCGCAAGAAGCACCTGCTATCACCACATATATATATATCCCTGTCTCTGCCTTTTGACGTATATTCATTCATGTTGACCTCCTTGCATTCTTGTATATGTGTATGCGTGTGTGCGTGCGTGCGTGTGCCTTTGTATTACTTGCATCATGAGGACCAAAACCTGTTAACACACTCACACTGTGGGGACTCGGCCATCCTTGTGGTGACCAGAAGCTAGTCCCCACAAGGAAATCACTGAATTTTAGGGTGGCAGTATGGTTTAGGGTTAGGTGTTAGGTATTACACTGTAAACACTTTTCCTGTAAAATAACAGTAAAGAGCTGGCAGCAGGGACGCCAGCAGTATACCGTTATTTTTATGGTATTCGTACATAAAATGACTTTACGGTAGTAGTCTGTAAACCAGAAAAACGGTATATGTTTGTATTTCTATAATTTACGGTAAAGAGCTGGCAGCAGGGACGCCAGCATTATACCATTATTTTTACGGTATTTGTACGTAAAATGACTTTACGGTAGTAGTCTGTAAACCAGAAAAACGATATATGTCTGTATTTCTATAATTTACGGGAAAGAGCTGGCAGCAGGGACGCCAGCATTATACCGTTATTTCTCAGGGCTGTAGACAATTGCTTAAGATATGCATTATTGTGAATATTATGCAAAATAAGCAATAAAAACTTCAAAATCAATTATCTTTATTTCAAAGAGCAATGTCAATATCAACATGAATACAAAAAATGTAGAAAAAGAAAATAAATGTTCTTGTGGATCCAGGAGAGATGACCATTACTTTGGTAGCCGCTGTTCCTCCCTGCAGCATTATTCCAGTGTCGCCACTGTCAAACAACAACAAACAATCATAATAATAAATAACCTATACAATCAGGAATGTACAGTATACACTCCAAACTAATGCTTATAAAGTTAATAATGCCAGTTTTCTTGTGGCTTAATGTGGCAATGCCAGACTGTGAAAACAAAGAGAGCGAGATTAAAGAGGTCACCGATCTATATGAAGTTCCATTCAAAGTCAAGGAGATTCTTCAGTAGCATGGCAACGTGTGTATTGACTGCAGAAGACTTCTTCTGGACGATCACACCTTTCTTCTTGGAGACAACCTTGCCCCCTTTTGGCCTTTGCCCCTCTCTCTGGATTTATACCAATGAAGCGCCTGAAATCAAAATAGTCTAAGATCAGAGTGGGGTTGCAACAACATACTGTTTTGTGTACATTAAATGCAATGAATTGTTTTTTGTCTTTCTTCATTGCACTAATAGAGTGGACTTGAATGACATATAGAAGTGACATCAAAAGAAATTATAAAGCCTATAGTCCAACAAAATACCCAGTCTGTGTGTGTGTGTGTGTGTGTGTGTGTGTGGGATCTGTTGGAGCCACACTCCCAGTTTGGGGGTCACAGCCCCCAATGTTCCTATTACCACGGGGACCACTTGTGCCTTCACCTTCCACATCTTTTCTAGCTCTTCTTTCAGCCCTTGGTATTTCTCGAGATTCTCGTGTCCCTTCTTCCTGATGTTGCTGTCGCTTGGGATTGCTACATCTATCACTACAGCCTTCTTCTTCTGTTTGTCCACCAGTACTACGTCCGGTTGGTTGGCCATTACTAGTTTGTCAGTTTGTATCTGGAAGCCCCACAGGATCTTAGCTTGGTCATTCTCAACCACCCTTGGAGGTGTATTCCATTTTGACATTGGGACTTCCAGCCTGTACTCGGCACAGATGTTTCTGTATACTATGCCAGCCACTTGGTTATGGCGTTCCATGTATGCCCTGCCTGCTAGCATCTTGCACCTCGCAAGAAGCACCTGCTATCACCACATATATATATATCCCTGTCTCTGCCTTTTGACGTATATTCATTCATGTTGACCTCCTTGCATTCTTGTATATGTGTATGCGTGTGTGCGTGCGTGCGTGTGCCTTTGTATTACTTGCATCATGAGGACCAAAACCTGTTAACACACTCACACTGTGGGGACTCGGCCATCCTTGTGGTGACCAGAAGCTAGTCCCCACAAGGAAATCACTGAATTTTAGGGTGGCAGTATGGTTTAGGGTTAGGTGTTAGGTATTACACTGTAAACACTTTTCCTGTAAAATAACAGTAAAGAGCTGGCAGCAGGGACGCCAGCAGTATACCGTTATTTTTATGGTATTCGTACATAAAATGACTTTACGGTAGTAGTCTGTAAACCAGAAAAACGGTATATGTTTGTATTTCTATAATTTACGGTAAAGAGCTGGCAGCAGGGACGCCAGCATTATACCATTATTTTTACGGTATTTGTACGTAAAATGACTTTACGGTAGTAGTCTGTAAACCAGAAAAACGATATATGTCTGTATTTCTATAATTTACGGGAAAGAGCTGGCAGCAGGGACGCCAGCATTATACCGTTATTTCTCAGGGCTGTAGACAATTGCTTAAGATATGCATTATTGTGAATATTATGCAAAATAAGCAATAAAAACTTCAAAATCAATTATCTTTATTTCAAAGAGCAATGTCAATATCAACATGAATACAAAAAATGTAGAAAAAGAAAATAAATGTTCTTGTGGATCCAGGAGAGATGACCATTACTTTGGTTATCGCTGTTCCTCTCTGCAGCATTATTCCAGTGTCGCCACTGTCAAACAACAACAAACAATCATAATAATAAATAA